TCTTTGTTTTGTATGAGGAACTAAACCCTTTTTGGCTAGGGGTGATTTCAATACCATGATTATTTATGTGATATGAATTGATGAATTCCGGTTATGAACTCTTGATTCGTGAATGCAATTGGCTTAACTATTTGATGATTAACTTATTTGTGTTTGTTGATTGAGGGTCGACACTTAATTAGCATGCATGAATATGTGGCTAAAGTTTAAGAAGGTTTCACATAATCGTTACTAACTTATACTTGAAAGTAGTGAAGGTCGCTTGTCACGATCGCGTTAAGTTTAATTCTTAGCATGAGTAACATGATGTCATAGTTGCAAATGCTTTGTCAATGCTTATGGTTTTCATTATTCTTAATGATCTTCGATTGTATCTCTATTATGATGACATGTAGGGAACTTTTGAGAATGTTTTGGGTTGTCGAATGATGCCATCCAATCCAATAATATAAGGAAAATCTGAGGGTTAACTAGTGATGTCACGGTTAATTTGGGGCATTGTCGTTCATAATTCAATGAAGGAATAACTGGAAATTGATTCATATGCATAAATATCATGTGTGGAGAAAGAACCTCTAGCTAATTCACCAACCATCTTGTTTCACAACACTTGTTTACAATCTGTCCATTTTTGCATTTTGTTTGTTTATTTCAACTTCGTCAAAACTAAAACCCCCTTTTTTATTTCCTTGTTCCCAAGTGTCTTAAATCTGTTTTAATTTAGTTTTTATGTTTTTAAGTCAATTTAGAAGGTTTTAGCAAGCCCTCCTAATCCCCGGTCTAGAACGATCCCTCACTTATCCATTCTACTACAATTGTCAAACGAGGGTTTAATTTGAGTGTCAAGTAATTCTCACATCAGATGGCTGAACGGAAGAATTGACACTTGTTAGAAGTGGTTCGTGCTTCTCTTCTTGAGGCACGCCTTTCTCTACATTATTGGGGCAAAGCACTTACATCTGCGGTTTATCCCATCAATCATTTCCTCTCTCGCACTCTTGACTTTTAGACACCTTTTCAGACCCTTATGTCTCTGACTAGCTACCCTCTGGTTCCTAATCTTGCCCCATAGGTCCTTGGAGGCATTGCCTTTGTCTATGTGCCCTCTGCATAATTGCACACTAAACTTGAACCTCGAGCCCTTCGTTGTGTGTTTTTAGGATATGCCACTACTCAAAAGGGTTATCGCTGCTATCATCTCTCCACCAAGAAAATGTTCATTACTACCTATGTTACTTTCCATGAAAAAGAAATATTTTCTGGTCATTCTAAGTCCTTACTTTAGGGGGAGATTCAAGGTAATGAAGTTCGAATGTTTAAGTATCAAACCAAGGAGTAGGTCATTGAATAGTAGCCCACTACCAAGCAATGAGCCACTGTACAACAACCTACCGCACAGCAGCCTACTGCCGAGTAGCAAGCCGCTGAACAGCAACCCATTACCGAGGAGCAGATAAATGCCAAGCAGCAAGCTTTTGCTGAGACCGAGACATGAGAGACTGCGGTCTATCATCCCGAGATGTTTGAGGATGGCAACCAGTGGCAGTTCAATGCTGAGCAACCTATGGTTTTAGAAGAAGTCGTACATGATGACTCGTCTATCAGTGATATACATAACCAATCGTCTTCTACATCAGATGAACCACCACTTTGTCGTCTCCCAGAGCGGATAAACCGAGGTATTCCTAAACCTACTTACAAAGCGGACCCTAAGTGTAAAACTAAATATCTAGTGAGTGAATCAACCTAGGACTCACAAGTGAGGTATCCATTAAACAATTATGTTTCCACCTATCACCTTTTTGAATCGAACAAGTCAATCGTATGTCAATTATCTACTATATGTATTCCTAACAGTGTGCAGGAAGCCTTAGCCGATCCTAAATGGAAGGAAGCAATAAACGAAGAACTAAGATTGCTGAAGAAGAATGCTACTTAGGAACTATCAGACTTGCCAGCAGGCAAGAAACCTGTGGGTTGTAAATGGGTGTATACTGTGAAGTATAAAGCAGATTGAATGGTTGATCGTTTCAAAGCTAGATTAGTGGTAAAGGGATATACTAAAAAAATATGGCATAGACTACACAGACACCATCACACTGATGGCTAAGATCAATAACGTTCGTGTTCTACTTTCCCTGGTAGCTAATTTGGATATGCCATTGCAACAATTCAATGTAAAAAATGCATTCCTACATGGAGACTTAACTAAAGGAATTTATATGGATCTTCCATCGGGATGTAACGGTACGGACATACAGAAGGGAAAGTGTGTAAGTTAGGAAGTCTTTGAACGGGTTGAAGCAATCTTCAAGAGTTTGGATTTGTAGGTTTGCTAAGTCAATGAAGGCATTTGGGTATTGACAGAGCAATTGGAATCATATGTTGTTCTTGAAATGCAAGAATGAAAAGATTACAGCACTCATCGGATATGTGGATGACATGGTCGTTACAAGTAATGACCCCGTCAAGCAATCGACACTAAAGAAGTATTTGTCCACGGAGTTCGAAATGAAAGATCTTGGGCCGTAGGTATTTTCTAGGAATCGAGGTATCGAGGTGCAAGTCCAAAATATTTTTGTCCTAAAGGAAATATATTATTGATTTGTTCAAAACTGGGATGTTAGCATGCAAGCTTGTCACTACTCTGTTGGGTGAAGGAATGAAGTTAGTATAGATCCGAATCAAGTACCAGTAGATAAAAGAAGACATTAGAGGTTGGCAGGAAGATTAATATATTTGACCCATACAAGATCGGATCTTGCTTATGCATTGAGCATGGTCGATTAGTATATGCATGATCATAGAGAACAACATATAAATGTGGTTATGAGGATATTGTGCTACTTGAAAGGAAGTCTAGGAAAAGGAATTTTGTTTAGAAAGAATGAGAATTTCAGAATTGAAGGATATACCAATGCTGACTGGGCATGTTCGATAGATGACTTACGTTCAACATTCGGTTACTTTACCTTTGTTGGCGGCAATCTAGTGACGTGGAGAAGTAAAAAGCAAAATGTAGTAGCACAGTCAAGTGCAGAAGCTAAGTATAGAGGCATGACCCTTGGTATTTGTGAACGTTTGTGCCTTAAATTTCTATTCGAAGATTTGGGGGTCAAACATAGCCAGCCAATGAAGTTATTCTGTGAACAAAGTTGCGCAGGATTTTGCTTATAATCCAGTACAACATAATAGGACTAAGCATGTGGAAGTTGACCGGTTCTTCATTAAGGAAAAGCTGGAAGGGAAAGTAAATGAAGTTTCCCCAATCAGGATCGAGGACCAAGTGGCAGACATACTCACTAAGGCCGGCTCTAGTGAAAAATTCTCAAAGTTTTTGGATAAGTTGGGGCATGTGTGACATATATGCACCAACTTGAGGGGGAGTGTTGACTTTGTATAGAATTCCCTTTATTCCAGGATTCCTATAATCTTGGTTTTCCTATTTTAGGAGATATTGTTTGTAATTATTCTTTGGCTATTACAATAGGATTGTACATGATTATGTACCTTAGAATGAGAAGAATACAATACAAATTCAAAGCATTCTCTTCTATAACTGTGTAACCAGAAGCTCACTAAGCAAATCCTAACATACTTTAGATCCCTGTCGTTACTGACAGCTTGAGCTATGCGGTTTGGGAATACGAATGTTTGTGGCAGAATCGTACATAGAAGCAATGGCTGATGTGTTGAGTCTTGTAACAAATACAAAACTACTCGGGGCTGGTGTTTCTACCGGAGTTTCTAAATGCAAGAAAAGAATATGCAATGGGATAACTTCATTCTGTTGAGCCCCCAAAGTACATTATAGCCCCTAATGTTTCTGCTTAAACATCTCTCAAGAGATTAGACTCTTGGATTTTAATTTTAGCTGTTTTGTATTCATATAGACAACTAATTAAATTGATACGTGTCTTGATCGTTATCAGTATGTTCTAATCCCAACTTGTTACTCCGACTCGAAACTATGTATATTTTCTTAATTAGCAAATTAAAATAAAACAAATTACAATATTGGATTGGATTTTAAGCCAAACCTTTTATTTTTAACAAAAAAAAATGCATATTTCTTTGTTTTCTCGCTGTTTGTTTGGTTTTTTTTTTTTTTTTTTGGGTTAAAGAATGGAGAAGGTCATGACATAAAAGGCCATAAAGTGATTTCCAGACATCTATAATCAGGGAGAGAACCAGACTTTCTTAAGTTTCAAGTAGACGGACCGAGAGTCCACTCCAACAACATCGATGCTGTCCCTACTTGGGCACCTGCTTAATCTGTCAGCTGTGGGGTTTTATCAAAAAAGGTCTCGATGTTAGTTAGAGTGGGGTAATTCTATTTAAGGAGCTTGTTCTCAAGCTTTCTGGCCAATGTGGGACAGAGGAATTCTAACATTCCGCCGCATGTGAGACCCCATTTTATGGGTCACACGTGGAGTTCCACACATTGCCAACCACATGAAGCCAAGCTGGGGCTCACCCATTCGCGCGGGGCCAATGGGGACCCACCCATTCACATGGCATCTCTTTGCCTACGTGGAGCCAAGTCGGGGCTCACCCATTTGCGCGGAGTCAAAGGGGACCCACCTGTTCACGTGGATATACGGGTCTGTCCCCTGGCTCTGATACCATCTTAAGTTTCAGGTAGACGAGCTGAGGGCCTACTCCAACAACATTGATACTGTCCCCACTTGGCCACTTGCTCAATCCGTCAGGTGTGAGGTTTTATCACAAAAGGCCCCGGTGTGCGTTAGAGTGGGGTAATTCTATTTAAAGAACTTATTCTCAAGGCTTCTGGTCGATGTGGGATAGAGGAATTCTAACAGACTTAACTACCAGCCTCCAAACTCGTTCTTTCCCCCCCGGTGCCAATATTTCTTTCATTTTCCTTCTCCCTGCGACTTGGTTGTGCACATTAGCATCTGCCACTGCTGCCAACAGCACTGGTGTGGTGTGTGCCTCTACCTCTTCCTCTTCCTCTACCACCCCCCTGGGCTGAAAAAATGGGGAAGAGATCGCCATCCTCCGAAGTCGTTGAGAAGGGGTGTGGAAAGGGCCAAAAGTCTCGACATTCCATCCCCCCACCCCATTTGTGCCCCCCACCACCAAAGCCATGGGTGCCGTGGCTCATGAGACTTGTTTTTTTCACCAATGTAGCCATGTTCGTGTACACGATGTACGTAAATAACCGTCCAACCACAGAGGAAAAGTGTATTCTTCCTTTTTTGAAGAGGTTCTCTTACCAACCCTGGAAAGAAAGCCCTCTCTTTGGCCCTGCCACCCTCACGTAGAAATCTCCTCCTCTATCTCCCAATGATTTCTATTTTTTGTGTATTTTTTCTTCCTTCTGCTATCTTGCATAATAAACTGATTCCGTTAACATTTTTCATAATACATTCTAAGAAGGCTAATCTTCTGCAGTCGAGATGGTTTTGGATTAGAAAAACAAAAACCAAATACGGAATTTGATTATGACTAAAACACTATTAATTTGAACAAAGCACATATCTTCAATACTTTGTTTTGTTCTGTATAGCAGATACTTTGCTCTCAGGTCTTGCTTACGTACCAATTGATATTATTCCTGTGCCTTGCTTAAGTATCCTAATCTATCGCGCCATAGCCAACGTAAGACTCCATGGTTGTCACATTCTCATGTCCTCTGTCTTAGCAACAACGTCCCTTCCTATGAATCTTTGCTACCCAAAATGCAGGGCCAGTGCCTTTCAGGCCCCAAAGTCAAACAAAGGAAATGCGCCCGGTTGGTCTACCAATTTAGAAATCATGAACTAAACCAGGCAAACTTTAAGCTAGAACTTGAACAGTTATGCTCATCAATACATGAAAAACCCTAATATAATTTATGTTGTTTGCAGTCTAAAGAAACTAGGAGCCCTTGAAAAGCAACTAATGGCAGAATGGGGCAAAGGATGGCGCCTCTTCTCTTGCATGTGGCTTCATGCTGGAGTCGTTCACTTGCTTGCCCATATGCTGAGCCTTCTATTCATTGGTATCCGGCTTGAGCAGGAATTCGGATTTAGTAAGCATTTAAGATTCAGGGGATGTCAACTCAGTTTTTACATGAGCAATGCATGCTAACTATTTGTTAACTGTTTGAATTTGGCAGTTAGAATTGGATTCCTGTATGTGCTTGCTGGATTAGGTGGAAGTTTAGGATCGACTCTACATCTCATGAGAACCGCAAGCCCGACAATATCAGTTGGTGCATCTGGAGCACTTTTTGGATTGCTGGGAGCCATGCTTTCCGAGCTTTTAATAAACTGGACAATCTATGTGAAAAAGGTAAACCTTTCTTTTCTCTTTCCGTAGCTTTTAATCACTCTAAACTGGTAAGGAAAAGAACTCAAGCTATGCCGGGGGAGGGGGCCAATCTAAGAACCAACAGCTATAATATCTGAGCTCAGATCGATGAGGGATACATCTAAGATCTAACTTTTCTATTCAGTTTACAGCCCGCCCGATAGTCATGGCTGTCATTGCCGTGAATTTGGCTGTCGGGTTTATACCTAAAGTGGACAGTTCAGCTCATATAGGAGGATTGTTCACAGGATTTTTCCTTGGCTTTATTAATCTTGTTCGTCCACTGTATGGTTATATAAGCAGCAAGCACCTGCCATCAACCTACGAGGGAAAACGTAAATCTAGGCACATGTTCTATCAATATGTGCTAGGGATCACTGCGTTTATTATCCTAGTTCTTGGGTAAGTTAGTAATTTGCTTCTTTCATTTCAGAAATTTACTAAATACAAATCAAAATCAAGCTACCTCCAGTCCCTAAATAACTTTTCTCTTTCATTTATTGTAGATACACATATGCTTTCGGCAACCTATACGGTCTTCAGGCATTGAAAAACGTCTTGTTCTAAAATTTAATAAAAACCTGGTATTAGATTGGATATTGATTTTAGTATTTTAATGTGTACTTAATTCAAATTAATATTATATTTTTGTTTTAATATTTAATAGAAATCTTATTTAATGTCATTACATTAAATTTTAAATTTATTATTATACACATTTTAATTCATTGATTTATTTAACTTCCTCTAATTAGTGTACCTAAACGTGCGTATCATGATATATTTTACTAAATTAGTATACCAACATGTCAGTACCTAAATATATTGTAATGAATTAGTTGCACATAAGAAAATATGCAAAAACATAAGTGTCACATCCCGGCCCGGGCCCCCACCACATCGCAGGCCCGACTCCACCGTAGCATGACATTGTCTACTTTGGGCCCTGACCATGCCCTCACGATTTTGTTTTTAGGAACTCACACGAGAACTTCCCAATGGGTCACCTATCCTATGATTGCTCTCGTGCAAACTCGCTTAACTTCGGAGTTCCTACGGAACCTGAAGCTAGTGAGCTCCCAAAAAGCCTCGAGCTAGGTAGAGATGAGAATATACATATAAGGCTTACAGGATCCACTTCCCTGGGTGATGTGGGATGTTACAATCCACCCCCCTTAGGGGCCCGATGCCCTTGTCGGCACACTTCCGCCCAGGGAGTGGCTCTGATACCAAATTGACACATCCCGACCCGAATTATCCACTAGGACTTTGAATCGAGTTGTACTAGCCGACACCTAGAAGGTGATAAAGCCATAACGTATAGTGATGTGGAATATGTGAATAAATTAAAACCTAAAAGTGCCTAAATACGAGAGTGCGCTATGAGCGGAAATGAACCCATTTCACACGTGACATCATAGTATAAGTAAAGTACAGTAGAGTGGATTGAAAATCATACCATCAAAGGTAATCTCCAATATCAAGATTTTCCACTAATCCTCATCGACACGAAAACTCTGCTACTAGAACCTGGAGGGATAAAAAAAAAAAAAAAACAAGAGTGAGTGGGCATGAAAATAACTCTTTAATAAAGACTTTCTAAACGTTATAATCCCTCGCTGTAATGCCTGTATAGTTTCCAGGAAATCATACTACGTATAAGTATGAAATCAAATGTAAATCAACAGTAAATCAAGGAATATTCCAAATCACTACATATCGGCAGCAGTATAAAAAAAAAATTAGGTGCTCATCAATCTATGATAACACACGAGTCAGAGTTGCCTAACACAACTTGTACGACTTATAAATCAACCTATGATAACACATGAGTACATGAGTTGGAGTTGCCTAACGCAACCTATACGACTCATAAATCAATCTATTATAACACATGAGTCGGAGTTGTCTAATGCAACTTGTACAACTCATAGGCAACCTGTACGACATTTTCGGAATTGCCTATTATTGCAACCTGTACGACAGTGTTGGAGTTGTCTAGTATTGCGACTTGTTCTACAATGTCGAAGTGGCATAAAACATAAATATAGTCAAGCCATAACTCAATCATTTCAAATAACACCATAAACTCACCTGAACTTACCTGCATATAATTGTTGTGAATGCTTGGAAGTGCTAAGGTGATCGCGGGACGCGCAGGTAAGTTCAGGTGAGAATTACACATTGTGAAGAACCTCTGCACAAATCTTTGAAGAGTAATACACTGCCAAAGCTCTCTTCAAAGAATGCACAACCAAAGCCGAAGCTTTCTTTCGACCATAGCCGAAGCACTCCTTGAAAAATCAACAAGTACTCGTGTTGATTCCTTCAAGACTTTGTTGCAAGCTCAAAACTTGTAATGACGTTCGTTTCAAGATGAAGTCACCAAGACACTTGAATCAATGAAGTCCTACATCAACATCACCTTTGCCACAGCCCTAAACCTGAGGTGAAGACCATCCATGCATTGTTTTAAGATCAAAACCTGAAGCAATCATTCAACCGTTCGTCCGAGATCAAGTCATCGCAACCCATGGATCGACAATCTACACATTTACATCAAATTTGAAGACTGAATCAGAGGGAAAATTGTAAACAAAGATTATAACCTACAAATTCATCAATACAAATCTACTTTGTACACGAGTTCTCGTTTCATTAGTTACATAATTTTCATGTTTAGAAATTAGGCACACCCAATGGGATCTCTCTGCCTCTCATCTCTGTCTTTAAATTTGCAAAAAAAAAAATAAAAATAAAAAATAATAATAATAATAATACAAATGGCATCAAGAAAGGATCAAGCTGTTCTTTACCGTGTTTTCCACCCCTACAACAAACCTGTTGAAGGGGCAAGAGTACACGAGGCACGAGCCTATGATTACCTTGGCCTCGCTAAGGGTGCTAAGGGTAGAAAGTCCAAGAAGGTACTCTGAGTCTTTGACTTCTAACATTGACTCAAGCAGCTCGTGTCCCGTAGCCATGCAAGTCATGACTACTCGCGTGACTTCCATTGAGGAGTAGTTGGCATAAATGAGTGAAGCAAATGTAAGGCTAACAAGGACCGTGGATGAGAAGGACTTGCAAATTGCTATGCTTATCAACCGTCTTGAGGCGCAGCACGACAACAAAGCTGACCCAAAGGTTGATCCTCCAAAGGAGTAAATTGACGAAAAAGAAGAGCTGGTGGAGAAAGCGGAGGAGAAGTTGGACCAAGCAACAGTGTTCATGAGATGTCTTTCTATCCAGCAATTGCAGGAAATGATCATTAGCACCATCAAGGCACAATACCAAGGAAGCTCACATGACTCCGTGTTGTACTCAAAGCCCTACTCCAAGAAGGTTGACACCTTGAGGATACCAAGCGGTTATCAACCATCAAAGTTCATGCAATTCGATGGAAAGGGCAATCATAAACAACATATTACCCATTTCATCGAAATCAACAATAATGCTGAGACGGAGGGATACTACCTTGTTAAGCAGTTCGTGTGCTCACTAAAAGGTAACACTTTTGACTGGTATATTGACCTCGACCCCAAGTTTATGAACAACTGGGATCAGCTTGAAAGGGAATTCCTTAACCACTTCTACAACACTCGCCGCACCGTAAGCATGTTGAAGTTGACAAATACGAAGCAATAAAAGGATGAACCTGTCGTTGACTACATCAACAGATGGCGTTCATTAAGTATGGATTGCAATGATCGACTTTTTGAAACCTCCACCATTAAAATGTGCATTCAAGGCATGCACTGGGGGCTACGCTACATCCTCCAAGGCATAAAGCCAAGGACATTTGAGGAACTGGAGACTCATTCCCATGACATGTAGCTAAGTATCGCCAGCCATGGGAAAAAAGAGCCAATCACCAACTTCAAGAAGGACAAAATGTTCGCTCTGAAGGTAGACAAGACTGGGAAGAAGCTTGCTAAGGAAGATTTTGCTGTCAACACTACCCCCATCAAGACTTCCCCTGTGTCCGTCAAGATCTCCTCCAAGAATAAAGCAAAGGAGATAAAAAGATGCGAACCTTCTCGCACCTAAGATAGGTACAAAAACACCTTGAGGGAGCTGGAGCAAAATACGTACACTTTTCTGGACTCTAACGTTGCTGCAATGTTAGACGACCTGTTGGAGAAAAAGGTGATCGAGTTACCTAAGTGCAAACGCCCCGAAGAGATGAATCATGTTACAATCCTAGGTATTGCAAATACCATTGTATCGTGAGTCATCTTATTGGCAAATGCTTCATCCTAAAAGAGCTTATCATGAAGCTGGCACAACAAGGGCGAATTGAACTCGACCTTAAAGACACAGCCATAACACACACTACTGAACTTGTGTTTGGATCATTCGATCTCGTGCCTCTCCAAATAACGCATGCTTATTCCCGTCCATGCTTAAGCCACATGTCACCTTCTACACAACCATCACTGGGGGCAGGTGACCAAAATGCACTTATTGATGATGAAGAGGGGTGGACACTAGTGACCTACAAGAAGACAGGAAAGCTAAGACCACAAATCGCAAAGCCAAAGGTGGAACAAGTGAGAAAGCATCATTGCCGCAACAATAGGAAGCCCAAGAGAAACGTAAGAGCTATTAAGCTAACGTACGCTGGGGACCTAAGAGCTGCTAAGCACCATCTCCTTGCATGAGGACTTCCTAAAGGATTTTTTCCAACAATGCACTACCGCTGCTTGTCATATGGTTGAAGTAGAGATAGAAGAGTCCTCAAAAGGCAAAGCTGTCATTGTCGAGGACAAAAAAATTCCTACGCCTGAAGAAAGCCTGGCGTCATACTTTAGCATTGAGGAGGTGCTGTGATTGCCCAAAGAGATGCAAAAAGCACTAATAGTTGTCTTGGCGAGTCTCGGCGACCACGAAATGCAAAAAAGAAAAGACAAAGGCCTAGAGCTTCGGCCACATGAATACGCCATATGTTGTGCTGCCCATGACACAATCACATTCACTGACGAAGACTTGCTACTAGGGTCAAAGCCTCACAACTGTCCTCTCTTCATCTATGGGTATTTGAGGGAGCACGAAGTAAACCGCATGCTTTTGGATGAAGGTTTGGCCATAAACATCATGCCAAAGTCAACAATGACTACAATTAACATCAAGTTAGATGAATGATCTCGAAGCTGTTTTTTAATCCAAGGTTTTAACGAAGGAGAACAAAGAGCGATGGGCATGGTTCGAGTCGAAATGACCATTGGCGAACTTAAGTTAAGCATGTTATTCCATGTGATTGACGCTAGAACTTCCTACAACTTGGTTTTGGGAAGGCCTTGGATCCACTAGAATGGAGTGTGTCGTCCACCCTCCACCGATGCCTAAAGTTTTACCGAGAAGGGGTAAAAGTGATACAAGGCGACACCTAGCCATTCATCGAAGCCGAATCACACTTTGCAGATGCCAAGTTCTACATGGATGAAGAAATGGTGCCTGAAACTCTTCCAAAAGAGATCAAGTTTATAGGCAAAGCTGCACCCAAAAAGAAGGAATGCCAAGCCTTGCCCAAAGAGCAAGATGGGGAAGCCGTGCCATCTTCAAGTAAA